GAGAGAGAGAGAGAGAGAGAGAGAGAGAGAGAGAGAGAGAGAGAGAGAGAGAGAGAGAGAGAGAGAGCCCTGAGTTTCTTGAAAAGAATCAGAGAATTAACGAGCTTGACACAGTTGGCCGAAGTTCGACCAATAGGCTGTATTGACTCAGGAGCGAAAAATGCAACAGCATCCCTCTGCTATAGAACCGGCTCAAAACTCCCCTTCAATGTGGACAATAATGCTCCGTCCATGGAGGACCCTAAACCGCCATTCTCTTGGGTCCTACAAGCCTTAAACTCTTGTGTACACAACATTCCCAATGACTGCAGGCACCCGAGAAGTCTCTGGCATGAGAGAGAGAGAGAGAGAGAGAGAGAGAGAGAGAGAGAGAGAGAGAGAGAGAGAGAGAGCTAGGCTGTATATAAAGAGAGGGTAGGAGAGTAGTATAAGTGCTCGCATCATGGTAGAGAGGCTGCATTGTCATTGTGTTGATGAGTGGAGGCGATAAGTCGGACTTTCTTTATCAAGAGACTTCAGTGTCAGCATGTTCTCATTTTGGTGTGCTCTTGGCCTTGTAATTCTGCTCTCGACTTTTCTCATATATGCTGGTTCTGCTTTAAGTCTTTTGCTGCTCACAATGTTTGTGTTCTCATTATTTGGTTCCTTGCAGCTTCACCAACTCCACTTCGAAATAGACATGCCATCTGCCCGCCCCTGTGAGATAACCTTTTGCTTCGTTTTTTTCCCCCCCTTCCAAATTGCTGTCCCCTGGCCAACCCGTTTTGTTTCGACCTTTCCAAATTGGTGCCCGTTTGGTCACCAATCACCTAACCTCTCTCTCCAAAATTCTAATGCACATGAGCAGAGCCGCATCGACCTATCTTTGTTTCTGTCTATTTCAGGCGCCTAGAGCTCCTCGACATCAACTCGGGAGGAAGGTGTCTCTTGCACCTGGGCAGCAAGTTCTTAGCTCGCACTGGGGAAGCATCATCAATTCTCTGTTGAAGTTGCTGAATATCCTGCGTGGAAACAAGGTGAACCTTTCTAGACTTCTTTGGGCTGTAGCAAATCTTTCTCAACTCGTTCTTGTATGGTCATGAGCCCAAGGCTTTATCAACAAATTATGTTCTAGGACCAAGATCTCAAGGATTGCTTGTGTACTATGTAATATGTATGGCATTTGGGTTTTATCCATGCATAATATCCATGCGTAATGTGGGAGATATCAGTTTGTGGCACATTTGGTGAGCATATCCTACCCCACTATAATCATGCTTCAGACCTTCATGCAGTACGACCTCCATTCTCTGTGAGCTTTTCCTTTGGGGTCTGTTTGAGGACCTTCAAAGCAAAAAGTCTTAGACTTCCAAAGAAAGGAAAGGAATAATCAAGGGGCATGGCGTACTGAAGTTTCACTTGAAAATGTGTACATTGTGTAGTGATGAGGTCCTCCATTTCACATGGAGACGGTGGGTTCATTTTGATGAAACAAGAAAGAGAAGGAGCAGGCACGGGCACAATGTTTCTGCACTACCTGCCAGCTCCCTGACCTGGAAGCCTGCCTCAAGTGCCCAGCTCGAATGGAGTTAAGCATGCGCATGTGCATGTGCATGTGCATGTGCATGTGCATGTGCATGTGCAGAAACGGGTGCCTAAGGACCTCTCTTATTCCTTCTTCTCCCTGACAGTACCAGGCTGTACAATCCATTCAATCTGTGGTGTTTTTTTTTTTTTTTGTTGTGTGTGTGTGCAATGAACCTCTTAGTTCAACACCAGTGAGCGCACATATTCACACCACATGCATGTATGAGATCACACGAAGTTCACACTGGAGACCAGAGGGATTAAGACCAGGTAGCACAGCTTATGAATTCCAACAAGTTATACAAGTGCGAAGCACCAGGCCTTGATAAGCCCTACTTGGCCCCTATTTGCAACAGTGTCGGCTGCCCTAAGTGAAGGCAGGCTCGACAGACGACAAGAGGCCTATTTTGGACTACTTCGCAAGTGGGGGGAAATTCAGGCAGTTGCGCAGCGCCAGTTGGTTGAAAGCGCCCAGGCCCTGGCCTCCTTTTTCAAATGCATCTGAGTCAGGCCCTGGGCGAGATACACAGCATGGACCCAACTCAGGCTGAGCGCAGTTGGGCATGGGTAACTGTCACAGGCCTTGGGCCTGATCCGTTTGGTCTGGGGCTCAGCCTCTCTGGGCCTACCGGAAGCTTCTGGGCAGGGGCCCAGCGCAGCCAGGCTGCACGCAAGGCAGGCAGGCCACTTCCATTTACGAAAGGGCCTGCACACGCATTCGGCATTCGGGCACTGGCTGCATGCTGCGCTAACGCTGGCCAGCGCTCACACGCTCACGGGCGAGCTCGAAGGAGCAGGCAGCCATACCCGAGCTGCGCTGCTGTATGCTGGATGGGGCCCATGGTGGTCCTTGGGTGCATGTGGCATCGGTGAATTGGGGAACGAGGTTGTGAGTGGTACGAGAGACATACCTGTTGCTTGAAGTGTACGGGATTGGCCGAGATCTGCTCGTTCTTCGGGGAGCTGTTGACGTCATCGGTGGCATTGTAGATTAGGCTGGATAGCATCTGCCATCTGTAGTCTGGGCGCTGAGCGCCAGATAGGATATAGACATTGGTTCTTCGTTGATGATGATGAGACTATTCCAGCATTGTCAATTATGAGCTTTTGCTGTGTTCTTATTTGGTGGAACTCGTGATGCAATTCTGCTATTGGTTCGAGGTCACGACTATCTGGTCTCATGTGTATGATGCTGTTTGATTTCTGAAGTTCGCTATCGCTCATTTTCCTTGCACAAGAGCAATAAGAGTTCCAAGTCACCAGCGCTCATCAGCACAAACCAAAGGTAACCAGTTACCAGCATAAGATCTCAGCAGTCCGCTGTTTTTGCTAAGTTTTTCGTTACTAGTCCAAATGTGGCAAAACTGAATATATATATACCCTAAAGCACATACATATCCGACAAAAAGAAAAACCAAGAAAAAAGTAAAAATCCAGGGAAATATGGCAGTTTCGGTGAAAAATTCGCCAAAATTCGCCGATTGGGCCTTCCATTAACCGCTTCTCGTATTATGACCCTGCATAGTTTGTTCGCAAAAGTTTCGACAACATTGCTTGTAGCGCTGCAGTACAAAAGGACTGGCCAGCCTACCATTCGGGGAGATTGCTCATTCACAAGAAGTGGGGAAGTGCTGGTGCACTTGTGCGCTATTGTGAGG